TCTTTGCATGTGTGTCTGCCGATGTTGTTTCCGTGTCTGTTTTTTATCATTAATTCTTACCTGATGATGGTTGCTTGTATTGCAATCGAAACGTCGTATTCTATTATTATTTGATTTTATTTTCTACGTGACTTTACCGAAAGAACCAAAGAGTGTAATTTCCAATGTAGTAGTTTGCAGTTCATTTTTCAGCATTGGAATGTTTGGCCAATACCGGTTACATTCTGTGGTTTATTTATGTTTTATCTATGGGAGGACATCAGAAAATCCAGAGGAAACCCACGCAGAACAGGTGGAGAACATACTGCACACAGATAGGAACTCAGGTCCTTCTAGCTGTGAGGCACGAGTGTTACCATTGTGCCACATTGATGAGTCGCGACTGTTTTAATGATCTTGCTCAGGAAAAAAGAAAGAGGAGCCTGAGCTACCTGAACGGAATCCATTCACCTCCGCCCGTGTCTCCCCTCGTCGCGACCTCCACGCCAGTGGCCCGGAGAGCCTTCCGTGCGCCACGCTACGTACGTGGCGACTGTGAAAGCAGCATCGGGCCATCACACGCCAACCCACATGCCAGTCCACACGCCAGCCCACAGGCTAATCCACCCACCATCTTGCATATAAAGCCGCACGCAGCCTCACCAAGGCCTCACACCCCACCTGTCAGCACGCCCACAAACCAGTCCTCTTCTGTGCATTGTGAAGATGAATTCCCAAAAGATTCTGTTGCGGATGAAGATTTCATGATGATCGACACTCAGGCTCTTTTGCATAAACAAACACAAGGCGATGTTTGCGTCCCTTACAAGTCTGCAGTTCAGGAAAACGACGCCTCTTTGGATGCGGCAGCCGGCAGAGAGGAAGCTGCGGCCATTTCGGGCACAAGTGGCGGGCAGCGCGTCCCAGCCCCGAGTGGCGCGACAGCCCCTGGGTCCGTGCCGCCCAATATGGCCCACACGGCGTGAGCACGCACAGGGTGTCCCCCCCGCGCGGCTGCGTGCGGCCTGTTGGGCCGTGGGGCCTTGGACAAGGTGGGGGGGGGGGGGGGTGTGTCACTGTGTGGACCCGAAGTGCGCCGGCCATGGATGAAAGAGACTGATCCCGAGCAAAGCTAGGAATCTTCTGCGCGGTCAATGCAAGCACCGCTCGCTGCTTCCCCATTCTACTGAATCGCAGCGTGCCCACTCACTGTGTGTCATGAGAAAGCAGTCTGCTTGCAGGAAAATCTGAGACAATACAACCTGGCGTAACCTCAATCAAATCAACATTCAGTTTCATTGTTGTTGATAAACTTAGATTTAAGAGATACTATAATTAAAAAAAGGTTAATACCAGACGTTGGCATTTGGTATTTCATATACATATGCCTGTATTTTTGGCTGAAAGAAAAATGCAACTCGTGGGTTGTGAGTGACATCCGTGTGAAGCTTTGTTAATTAAAGAAAACATCTTGTGAAATGTGGCCTTCAAACATGTGGCCTGAGTTACCGCTGCCCCCTGAGTGTACGGCATTACGAGTGTTACTATGTTTACAAGGGCGGGCAGGGTGGCGCAGTGGTAACGCTTGTGCCTCAAAGCAAGAAGAGCCCGAGTTTGATTCCTGACTCGGGTGTCTTTCCGTGTGGAGTTTGTATGTTCTCTCCCCCTGTTCTGCAAGGGATTTCTGCCAGTTTCCTCCCATAGCTACATCCAAAATGACGTAAAAAATTTACCGGTATTGGCCAAAACATAATGCAACATTTAACCTTTAAAATAATTAATTAATTGGTGTGGCACACAAACTTCATCGCCAAGTGTGAACATTTGGCAGGAACTTCCTGAAAAACTCTTGAGACTCTTTCTGGCTTTTCTGAATAAACAAGTTTCATCATAGCAAGGGTGGCGGGTGGGGAGCACCCGAGTGGATGTATGTTGAACTTATTTCCCAAAGTATGTAGCCAATCATGGGCATCGGAGGTGCGAGCGAAGAACAAATTTAACACAAAAAGCAATTATAAAGAAATTAGTTTTCAGTCTGGATTTAAGTGGATAGCTCCAGTGGTTTCCTATCAGGAGAGCGTTCCAGACGGCCGCAGAAGCACATCGAGTGGTGTTAAGGACACCGTTCTCTCTCCGTGTGTACACAGCAGCAGCGACAGCGGAAACTTACGATGTGGGTTACACGCCGAGGCTTACCGCCGTGCCCAGTGCGAGACAGCGATTGACCACTCACTACATATCGCTTGTATAATTGTTTCATGCTTTCAACTGTCAAAGGTCGGTTGGCTACGTACCGTGCGAAAGAAGTTCAACATACATGTTAGAGGCATTATATTACAAACATTAGTCCTCGTTACAGAAACTGTTAGTTTTTCTGCGCTGTTTGAGGTTAGAGTGCCAGTTATTATTACCCTTGTGTAATAAAGCACTTCAACGACGATCTGTAGTTCGTGTATTTTTTATTTCTGGTTGGCTGGACAGCTCTGCGTTCTCTTCACATCGACACCGCTCCACTCTCGTTCCGCGCGTTAGATGTTGTCGCTCCGCGCAGTTCGCTCACGCTCCCGCTGGCAGACGACGCGCAAGGAGACAGCCTCTGGCCCGACACGTGGCCGCTGGCGTGCCTGAGGCGCCAGACGTGGACTTTCCTCCAGACTTTACACACTGACCCCGAGCTTGCTTCCTGCTTCCCCTTATAACCCTTCATCCACGTCACCAAGCCCCGCCTATAGCCACGCCCCCTCACGAACCTTCTGGATGGTTACCCACAAGAACCCTTGAGCTCCGCCCCATCCATCTGATTGGCTGATGGCGGAGCCTATCCCACTGACCGGCGACCGCCGGTGAACTCTCGTATTACACTTGTTTACTCAGGGAAGCCCGAGTCGAGACTTTTAAACTTTGGTCCTGCCAAGTTTTTGCAATAACATTTTGCGCGTATTCGACACCGTTCACAATGTCTCAAGGTGCCACAGGTAGTGGGGGACGATGTTTCCATGAGTAAACCCAATTGAGTAATTTGCAGGTAATATTTCAGCAATGGGATATTTGGTCAATACCAATGAAAATGCATGTGCTTTTAGCGATTGGCTTGTGTTGAGGAATGTCCATGGGATGATTAGTCAATTGTGCTCGCTGACACAAGTATAATGGATCACTGGCTGATGTGTTATTGACAACGGTGTGGGATTGACCTGACTGGGAAGGTTGTGGGGCAAGTTCGAGGTTTTCTGTCTCCCCATAACTCATGTGGACCCTCCTTGGTGACTTGATATCACTTGGGCCTGATGCTCTCTTGCCTCCCAGATTCAAAATAATTCCACCACCACTAGATCCGTGGCAGCCACTTTCATACCACCATCGCCACCACAACTTTCAACATGTCAACTACATCCACTACTCCTACTGGCACATTCCTGCATCAACACCACATCAAACACTACCACCAAATCTATCACTGCTATCATCACTAGTAACCACTAATACAATTATCACCATAAACCAACAGCAACAAAAGTACCAACATCACGTGCACTGGCAGGTGACAGAGAGGCCAATGCCCCTGGTTTAATCCCAGTTGCAAACCAAACTTTAATATTGTTCCATACAGTGTAACACCACCGTGCTCTCTGAAGCACTGTATAACTATTATTTTCTTACTCTTTGGTTCTTTCGGTAAAGTCACTTGCAATTTTTTTTTTTATAGAATACGACGTTTCGATTGCAACACAAGCAACCATCAGGTAAGAATGAATGAGAAAACAAACATGGTACACTGAGAAATATAATGCAATACAACACAGAGTCGGCTAATACAAGTCAACACCCTACCTGGTTGATTACGTTCTTCCAAAGATTGCTAAATTTGAGAAAGAACACGGACACGGAGACACATAGGCAGAGAAAGACGCAGAGAGACACACTTAGACAAACAGAAAGACAACGCCTCTGTGTCGAGGCCTTAAATCGAGAGAGAGGGGGGGGGGGGATTGGGGTAGAGAACAATGAGAGAGTTGTGTGGAATTCCTGCCCATAGCGGCCGGAGGAGAGACAATGGACTTATAAACAAACAAGCGTGGCAAAATTTAGAGACAGAAATAGGAAGTTTGAGAAAACAAATGTAATGTCACGTAGAAGGGAAATAATACAATAATAAAAATAAAACATTAAATAATTCTCATGACATTTCGGCCACAACGCAAGCAGCCGTCCTCAGGTGAAGAACAGGTCTGTCGGAAAGACAGTGTCTGAATGTGACTTTACCGAAAGAACCAAGAAGATGAATCCCTGCAGTCACGAAAGCTTTAAATCGAAATAAAACAAATGTAGTAAAATTAGACGTGTAATGCAATGCAACTTCTAATTTAGCAATCTTTGGAAGAATGTAATTAACCAGGCTATGCGTTACCTGTGTTAACAGACTCTTGTGTTGCATTGCATTACACTTCCTAATTTTTACATTTGTTTTCTCAAACTTCCTATTTCTCTCTCTACATTTTGCTGTGCTTGTTTGTGTATAAGTCCATTGTCTCTCCTCCGGCCGCTATGGGCAGGAATTTCACACAACTCTCTCATTGTTCTCTACTCCAATCCCACTCCCCCTCTCTCTCTGCCCCACCCCCCTCTCTATATTTAGGGCTTCGACACTGAGGTGTTGTCTTTCTGTTTGTCTAAGTGTGTCCCTCTCTGCTTGTGTGTCTATGTGTCTCCGTGTCTGTGTTTTGTCTCTCAAATTTAGCAATCTTTGGAAGAACGTAATCAACCAGGTAGGGTGTTGACTGTTGTGTTAGCTGTGTTGTATTGCATTATATTTCTCAGTTTACCATGTTTGTTTTCTCATTCATTCTTACCTGATGATGGTTGCTTGTGTTGCAATCGAAAAGTCGTATTCTATTATTAAATTTATTTTCTTTATACGTGACTTTACCGAAAGAACCAAAGAGTAATTCCTGCAGTCACGAAAGCTTCAAATCTATTATCTTATTGTCAAGTACTCAACCAAACCTTTAACTGCAATAAAGTTGATGGAATATTACAGTTTATTTCATGAAAACAAAGATATACAAGATAATATATCGGGTGGTTCGCCAACTTCGGTGAACAACAGGAATTGTGTACTCTCTGCTTCAATTAATCCCTCCAAGTCACCTCCATGTCGTCCGTACGGAATCTGTGGAGCACAACAAAAAAGAGGAAGAGACCGGCAACAACGTTGACTACACAGGCAGCGCGCTGCGTTTCCCAGTAGAGATTTGTACAAATGAGGAACGAAAGAGTGAATCAGCTGAAATGTTCCAGCATATATGTACGTATGTTAAATCTCTTTCACACCGTACATCAACCATGCTAATCGGAGGTGCGGAATAGTGTAGTGTATGATTAACTACTTTTGCACAGTACATAGCCAACCGTGCTCATCGGAGGTGCAGCGTGTTCTCACGTCACACTTTCTGCTTCTTCCCTCACACTGCTCGGCTTTTGGAAATTCTCTCCCATCGTCTCTTTCCCTTCTACGTGACTTTACCGAAAGAACCAAGAATATGAATCCCTGCAGTAACGAAAGCTTTAAATCGAAACCTTGCTCAATTCAAGAAATGTGGCGTTATGACACCTTTGATTAGTCCTATTTTATTGCTTGCCTCGACATTTTGGGCCTGGGTTCAGCGACTGTGTTTAAACAACATCGTCAGGAACCAAATCGATTATATCCTAATTAACATCAGGTTTAAGTCCAGTGTGATTACAGCAAAAACCTACCCTGGAGCCGATATATCGTCAGATCATAACCCAGTAACAGCTACAATAAGACTCAAATTGCGATCAATACAATGTACAAAGACGAGACGAGCAGACCTGGAGAAACTGAAGAACAGCGCCGATAAAAGACAAGTACAGCAACATCTCAACGATAGCATCCGCTCAATAACAACAGAAACAGCAGATGTTCAAGAGTACTGGCGCTCGTTCAAACAATGCATCACAGAAACAACATAAGTCATGCTGGGATATCAGCCACCGAAAAAGAAACAACGATGGATGACACATTATATTCTCGATTTAATGAGCAAACGAAGAATGTACAAAAATAACGACTTGGAGAAGTACAAACAAATGCAACAGAAGATCAGAGAAGCAATCCGACAGGCAAAAGAAAAGTGGATGGAAGAACAATGCGCCGAGATTGAAGAACTAATTAAAAACATGACAATTTTACTCTGCACAAGAAGCTCAAAGAAGCTGGTAACATCTACAGACCAGCCCCAACAGCTACCTTGTATGCGGACAACAACCAACCAATCCTAAATAAACAAGAAAAAATGGACACCTGGACAAACTATATACACAAGCTCTATGGCGCCCGCGAGAACACCTGCAGAAAAAGACCAACAGATGTCGAAAGACGCTCTACACATTTTAACATCAGAAGTAGAACATGCAATCAAAACAGCTAAGTCAGGCAAAGCGTGCGGGCCCGACACAATCCATGTAGAATTGCTCAAACTATTAGACAGCAACAACATACGACAACTGACTAATTGGTACAATCAAATATACAATGGCAATAAAATTCCATCCGACTGGCTACAATCCATCTTTGTGGCCATACCAAAGAAAGCAACAAGCCGGAAATGCGAGGACTACAGACTGATAAGCTTGATGAGCCACGTGCTGAAAGTCTTCCTGAAGGTGATCCAACATCGCATACGCTCCACATGCGAAAATGCATTGAAGAACACACAGTTTGGCTTCTGTAAAGGACTAGGCACAAGAGAAGCAATCTTCTGTCTACAGATACTACTACAGCGATGCTACGAACATCAGAAAGAAGTGTACATCTGCTTCATAGATTACAAGAAAGCCTTTGACTCAGTCGACCACGACCGACTAGCAGCTCTATTAAAACAACTGGGACTAGATAAAAACGACATCAACTTCATCATTGCTCTTTATTGGAAGCAAACAGCCCAACTCCGATATGACAACGAATTGACAGACCCAACACCAATACAAAAAGGTGTACGACAGGGCTGCCCACTTTCACCCAGTCTTTTCAACATCTACTCGGAGCAGATTTTTGATCGAACACTAGCAGATAAAAACATTGGTATTAAAGTCAATGGACAATACATCAACAACATCAGGTATGCCGACGACACTGCACTGCTGGCCGATTCAGAACAAGACCTACAACAAATCTTGGACGAGGTTGCCACAGAGAGTCAGATATGGGGCTTACGAATTAATAAAAAGAAAACAAAGGTTATGAAGGTCAGCCGAACTACAAGCGAAATAACAATCAAGCTGGGCAGCGAAAAATTGGAACAAGTACACCGATTTAAATACCTTGGTGTAATCATTGACGATCAGTTGAACCATGAAGTCGAAATCAAGAGCAGAATTGAACAAGCAAGGCAAGCATTTATTAAATGGAAAACACTCCTTGCAGACCGCAACTTGAGTACATCACTGAAACTGCGCACACTGAAATGCTACATCTGGTCAATTTTGCTGTACGGAGTAGAGACGTGGACACTGACAACAACAGCAACAAAAAGGCTCGAAGCTTTCGAGATGTGGCTGTATTGAAGAATGCTGAAAATCCCATGGACAGCCAAAACCACCAATACACAAGTTATGCAAGATATGGGCACTGACAGGCAACTGCTGAAGACCATCATTAGCAGGAAGTGTTACTACCTAGGCCACATTGCCCGAAACGACCCCAAATACCAGCTATTAAAGCAAATCCTGGAAGGAAAAATCGAAGGGAAAAAACGACCAGGACGGCCAAAAACGACATGGCTCAGTAACATCAAAACATGGCTACAATTAACAACAGCACAAACTCTACACGCCGTGCTAGACCGGGACCAATATCATCGTGAAGTCGCACACGTCGTTAGGCAGCGCTAAAGAAGAAGATATTTTGTATCATAGTTAAAAGATCAGTAATTTAACTAAAACTCTTTTTTTTAACTAATACCAGGATTCATAATTGGTAAAAAAAAAAAATGTTATTTATAAGTAATTATAGGTATTTTGATTAAAACTGTCACAATTAACTATGTTACTAAGTAGGACCTACTTAGCTATCGCTATTTGTCAGAAGCGACCTGCCCATAAATGATAGCTCAAACGAAGAGGAAATGATGATTTGAAACTTTCATGACTGCAGGAATCCATACTCTTTGGTTCTTTCGGTAAAGTCACGTAGGTAGAAATAAAACAAATCACGACGTTTCGATCGCAACACAAGCGACCTTCATCAGGTGGCACCGATACAGCAGGACAACCGCTGACACAGGAGAGAGAGCTGCTGACAATAAGAGTTTATAAAAGGTTGTGGTGGGCCCAACCCAAGGGTAAGTGGGCGGAGCTAGAGAAGGAAGAAAGGGGGGGGGCAAGGGGGGGGGAGGGTGAGAGGGGGGTGGGTGCAGGTTATCGGCGGAAGGCAGAGAGAAGCTGTGCCTGTGGAAGACAGAGACGCTGTGCCTGTGAGGCCAATGTGAGAAATTAGCATGTAAATGTAAATTAGTATGTAAACAGGATGAGGATGGGGAAGGTCGCCCTGTTAATGTGAGAAATTACAAAACGCCAGGCAGGATGGAAGTATTACAGCGAATTCCGTCCTGGTTAATAACGTCCTTCCAATGATTGCTCAGCTTGTACCCATCTTCCCGGTTGAAATTTATCTCTGTGTTTATATATCTGGATGGCTTCATGCACAAATATTTGAAGGTAGCCCGGCGGTTTTCAGAGCACCTTGGTCTCAGAAAAAACAATATCATGCGAGCCCACAGCATTATAACAATGGTCAGCTATGGCAGAGGTATTGGTTCTGCCATGTTTCAAATCTGCCTTGTGTTCGCAAACACGGTCCGAGACATGTCATTTCGTTTCCCCAATGTAACTGCTGCCGCAGGTACAACTCAGTTTGTAGACTCCAGGGTATTGCATGGCAGGAATGACCTCCTTCACAAATGGGATTAGATCACGGATTTTGTTTACTGTATTGAATCAGACCTGGATCTTGTGTTTGTTTAAGATTTTGGAAATCTTTTTGGTAACACCTGCTATGTATGGTGGAGTGATGGTTTTGATTGGATTCTCTGGCAGTTGTCTCTCCATGGTTGGAGAAACAGCTTTGTGAAGAGCGGTCCGAGTATCCATTCATCTTGAGGGCTTGGTGTATGTGTTCCAGTTCACTGGCTAGGTGGTGTTGGTCGGAGATGCAGTGGGCCCTATGGTGTAGTGTTTTGATGAGGGAATTCTTCTGAGCCGGATGGTGGTGGGAATGAGGCTTTAGATAGGAATCCATGTGGGTGGCTTTCCTGTAGACAGAATGTCCCAAAGAGCCATCAGGTCTTTTTTCAATCAAAACATCCAGGAATGGTAGCTTACCATTATTCTCCACTTCCATGGTGAATTTGATGGATGGGTGTATGGAATTGATGTGGTTGAGACATTTGTTCAGTGCTGACAGGCCATGTAGCCAAATGACGAAAATGTCATCTACGTATATCTTCCACAAGGAAGGACGTAGGTTGGATGTCTGGATGGCATCTGTTTCAAATTTCTCCATGAAAACATTCGCTACTACTGGTGATAAGGGAGAACCCATGGGGGTACCTTCATTTTGTTTGTAGAAAGTGCCATTCCAGGTGAAGTAAGTATTGGTAAGGCAGTGTCTCACCAAAGTTGGTACATCAGGAATCAGTCCATGTTGGACCAAGTCTTCATTGATTGCTAAGGTGTCAGGTACAGGAACCTTGGTGAACAGAGAGACTACATCAAAGCTGACAAGCAAATCGTCTGGAGACAGTGAGATGTCCTTGATTAGACCAAGTGAGCTGAATTAAGTACTGCTGAGGAAGTCTTGCCCGTGAATGGAAGCAAGGTCTCAGACGGAAATCGGACCAGTTTGTAGGTAGGTGAATTCTTTATGGATTTTTGGAAGACCATAGAATCTAGGTGGTCTAGCAGCAGAAGGTTTAAGGGAGAGCTGCTTGTTTCATTGGATTAGAGAAGTCGAATTGGTGATATTGTTGTTTTTTGTAGCCAGCCAGTTGGTAGGATCTTTCTTGATTTTGGTGTAACTGACATAATTAAGAAGGTCCTGGATTTTGTTGTTGTATGTGGTTTTATCCATGATGACAGGAGCAGTGCCCTTGTCAGCTGAGAGGATGACTATGTCATCTCTCTTTTTCAAATTGGCGAGTTCAGAGCGCTCGTCATTGCTGATGTTACTAATGGGTTTCTTAGCATTTTTAAGGTTGGTGGCAATTTTAAAACTTGCCACGTCTGTCGGGATGTGTCCCAAACTTTTGAGGGCTACATCTACCTGGGCAATTATATCATACACTAGGATGTATTTGGGGGTGACAGCAAAATTCAGCCCTCGAGCTAGTACCGATTTTAGCCTATTGGAGATTGTGCTGCTACTCTGATTGATAACAGTCTTGTTAACATCTAGCTTTTTAATGTGTAGATCTGGTTTCTTTTTTGACAAGTTATTGAATTTAGCAATAAGGTTAACCTTACATTTGGAGGACATTGTTGCAGCAGAAGAAGCAGTCATGTTATCTACAAGGTTCTTTACATTTACATGCTAATTTCCTACATTGGCCCCACAGGCACAGCTTCTCTCTGCCTTCCGCCGATCACCTGCGCCCACCCCCCTCTCACCCCCCCCCCTTGCCCCCCCTTCTTCCTTCTCTAGCTCCGCCCACTTACCCTTGGGTTGGGCCCACCACAACCCTTTATAAACTCTTGTTGTCAGCAGCTCTTTCTATGTCAGCGGTTCTCCTGCTGTATCGGTGCCACCTGATGAAGGTCGCTTGTTTTGCGATCGAAACGTCGTAATTTGTTTTATTTATTTCTAACTACGTGACTTTACCGAAATAACCAAACAGCAGTGGAAATGTATAGCCGCCAAATACTCTAAATGCAGCTCAATGAATTACGTTACCGTTGCGTTATCCATGAGTCTTTGATCTCTGTTGTGAGGCCTGATCGGAACATCTCCCAACCAGCCTGAGCTATCATCGCTCCGTTGTCGATGCAGAACCTGAAACACAAATGTGTGCACACAAAAATCCCCCGGATAGCTTTTAATAGGCCGTTTGGGGCAAATGCAGTCGGCGTGCACCTACACAGGCCGGCACGCACACGGGGTCGGTGGCCAGCACCACGCCAGGCCGCCTTTTTTTCCCAATGCTGATGTTTACACACCACACGTGGTACTCATTTGAGGATGAGTCGACCGAGGGCTGGTTCAGATCCATTACCCGTGTTGTCTGTGTGGGAATTGAATTTAGGTCTCCAGGTTCATACCACAGTACGCTTAAACTGCACCATCACTCCCCTCGTGCACAAAGATCCCCCGTTTAACCTTAACAAGACTGTTGGGGCAAGTGCTGTTAGCACCTGTGAAGGCCGGTACGGTACACGAGTAGGTGGGTGGCCAGCATCATGCGTCTCCCGTGGCAATGTTTACACACTGCACCAGGTACTCATTTGAGGCTGAGTGAACCTAGGGGAGCCCAGGACCGGTTCAGATAATCGTCACTGGTGTTGGCCGTGAGCGGATATCGAACTTGGGTCGCCGGGTTCATAGCACAGTGCACTGCTTACACTACATCTCCCCACACAATCTAACAAAGCAGGGTCTTGGTACAAATGGTTTATCTCTTGTTCTCATTACGAAGCACTGCGTTATAAATTATGTACTGCTGCACACACTGCAATTGTAATACAACTGTATTGGCAGTGGTGTGCAACCAATTCCTGAATATATCTGCACTTACATTGTGAGGACCGTGGAAGAAATGTACGTGATAATTCAAAGATCTCAGCCACTGCCTCTCTTTTGTCTACAAAGCTCTCTCTCAGGTGATAGTGATGAATCCCAAATCAAAAACGTGGAAAGAATAGATTTAAATTAAGTAAAACATCAGATACTTAAACCCCATTAATGTGAAGTTAAAACTGCTCATTAACTATACTCTTTGGTTCATTCGGTAAAGTCATGTCGGTAGAAAAAATAATAGATCACGACGTTTCGATCACAATGCAAGCAATCGAAACATCGTGATCTATTATTATTTTGACCTACGTGTCTTTACCGAAAGAATGAAAGAGTATAGATTCCTCCAGTCACTAATGTTTGTGTGAGAATTATTTTATTGTTTTATTTTTATTATTTTATTACTTCCCTTCTACGTGACTTTACCGAAAGAACCAAGAAGATGGTTGGTAAAATGTATCAGTTGTCTGAGAGCCCCATCGCGTACAGTGCGATTTGCAACTGCATGGGAGCTTGCCTTACTGCCCATATCCTCTAAGCTCTGATGAAGGGCCACTGCCTGAAACGTTGACATTTTTTGTTTTCTGTAACAAAGCAGCAGCTCCCTTCAGTTTTGATTCACATGGAAACGTTTCATTTAATCTCTCTCACCTGTCAGTTTAACACGTAGGTTTTCACGACCAATATCCATAAGAGGTGTTTTGGGTTAGATCGCGTAAATATATAAATGTGTCATTAAAACCCGCCACCACCCGACACAGCCAACTAGTAAGGGTTGTCACGTAAACAGAACATGCCAATTCGTCACTCGTGTTGGAGAGCCAAGCCACAACATTTACAAATTGAGTACGACGTTTCACCAGTAATTACAACTAGCTTCATCAGGCGACAGCCAGATTTGTGGAGAAGTCTGTTTCGTTCCTTATATAGAGGCGTAGATGTGTTGACCACCCTTCTTCGCTCTTGCACAATGATGGGGGGGGGGGATTACTGAGGCAACGTACATTATGCATGTGTATTATGCGAGCCCTTTGAACGAGTCCTTCCTGTCTATTGTGTTTATAAAAATAGCCCTACCAACGGTAATCCCTATTGAAGTGCGCTGCCCTTTGTCGGAATGCATTTAAATAATGTATTATTTGATGATTCGCTTCCACGCAGCACTAAGACGGTAGCTAACTGAACGGTTAAAGCTTTTTTTATTTTTTTCAGTTTCGATAGATTATCTAATTAGTCTTGGCCAGTAGTAGCTAGTTTTGTACAAAACTTCAACATCAATTGGGTGCTTTTGTTGGCACACATCTTCTGCTACTGCTGACAGTTGCATTTGGGAGAATTGAATATGTCTATGTTCTTTTAGTCTTGTGCTGATCATTCGTCCTGTTTGCCCAACATAACATTTACCACACGTGCAGTTAATCCTGCACACACCTTCTGTTGATAGCTTCGGTAATACATCTTTTGTACTAGATATTAATATCTGTATTTTATGTACTGTGCCAAATCTGACTCGGATGTTTTGTTTTTCAAAACATCTGGCTAGTTTATCAGTTACTCCCGCAATGTACGATATTTTGATCATTACTTGGGCGTTTCAATGCTCTTGTTATTTGATTTGGTTTTGGTATTCAATGCCCTGTTGATTTGTGCATCATTGTAACTGTTCATTTGCAGCGCCATTTTAACATGTTGAATTTCACTTCTCAGATTGTCACCATCTGACACTTTCTTAGCTTGATGAATGAGCGTCTTGATAAGAGCAGATTTATGGTGTAACTCTGCATTCAGATAGGCGTCAGTATGCATTTTCTCTCGGTAAACACCGTGTTATTTTACCATTTCTACCCCGTCCGAGCAGAATATCCAGAAATGGTAGAGTTCTGTCAGCTTCCACTTCCATGGTGAACTGGATGGATGGGTTTTGTGAGTTGAGATGATTTAGAAATGCGTTCAGTGTATCTTTGCCGTGTGGCCAGACCATCAATGTGTCATCCACATATCTAAACCAAGCAGATCGTTTTAGTGTGCTTGAAGCTTTTGCGTTTGTTTAAAAATCTTCCATGTACAAATTCGCTATCACAGGAGACAAAGGAGAGCCTATTGCTGCTCATTCCTTTTGTTTATAGATGTCACCTTGCCACAAGAAGTAAGTGTTCTTTAGACAGTGTTCAGCTAGTTTTGGGATATCTTTGGCTGAACCGTTGTTCGTTACCAGAGTTGAGTAATTTAATTGACTCGTTGACTGGAACCCTCGTGAACAGAGAGGTCACATCAACACTTACGAGAATATCATCAGGATTAAGCTTAATATTTTTAATTATATTTACGAGATGTTCAGAGTTTTTGATGAACAAAGAGGTCCTTCCGATGTAGAGCTGTATTTGTTTCGTTACATATTGTGCTAATTTGTACGTGGCAGAGCCTATTGTACTAACTATGGGTCTTAATGGGACATCTGGTTTGTGAATGTTTGGTAGCCCATAAAATTTTGGTGGTTTTGATGCCCTTGGTTTGATCAGACGTTCCAAGGTGCTGGTTGTGTCTCGTTTAATTTTAAGGTAGGTAACTTCATAGAGTAAATCTTAGATTTTATTATCATAGTCCTCACGGGGCATCACAACAGTCGATCGGCCCTTATCAGCAGCAATAATTTGGATATCTTTATTTGCTCTCAATTCTCTCAAGGCTTTTGCTTCACTGAAGTTAATATTTGTTTTTGGCACTTTGCTGTTCTCAATAATTTTGGCAACCTCGTGCCTGGTCATCTCTCACCTGTGCTACGAGCGGTGTGGCACGGGGTGTGTGGTAGGAGTCTGAGAGAAGCCGCCCTCATTAAGAATCCACATCTGGATGTAATTAATTACAGGTACTCCTCCATTTACAAAAGGGATACATGCTTCGAAAAACGCGAAAAATGCAATTTCGTAAATTGGAATGACTTTTCCCATTAATATATACACCAATGTCACTTTTCACTATTTAAAAGTAATAAAGATCAAATATTGAACGATTGACTAATAATTAATTAAAGGTTATATTTATCTTTTTAGGGATCTCACCAAAAGATTTTCATTTTGGAATTCCTGGAAAGGTGATATAGAGGCATTACTACTGTTGCACTGTAGGGACACCTTGACGCTGTCGCGGATGGATGAGGCAGCTTCCCGGGTGGTGCTTCTTGTTTGAAGATCTCCCGGCGCGTGGCCGGAGTGAAATTCCGTTCAGGCGGAAATTTTATTTCGTTCATCGAAAAGCGTCGACAATTTGTCAATTGGGTGAACGCGAAATTTTGTAAACCAAACGTGCGTAACCCGAGGGATACCTGTACACCCCTCGCCAATGTGGACGGTAACGTGGGCAAGAAGCGGAACAGCGAGGCCCCGCCGATCCTGCGCGGGCAACAGCCTGCCCTCCGTGCTGATGGATCACGGGCGCACGCTTTGTGCCTAACGTGGAGCGAGAGGCCCCGTGCAATGCTTCTCGTGTACAGATTTGGAGTTTAAAAATAAAAGGCAACATCCCTTGAAATCTCCACGTCCATTGTCAGCAACCGGGTGCACTGGCAAACTCTAAAACAAATGTGCAGCCACCGAACTGGACATAAGCTCTATGGTTCCGAAGCACTGCTGTAGCTCACCTCTCATCAGTAGCGAAGAGCTTTGCTCCTCTCTCCTTGCACATCACCTCCATCATCTCCTGCAGACGCAGGTTGCCTGTGCACATGGGTGAGAGCCACCGTCTGGCGAGTTATCCTCAAAGATGCCACACGACGGCGCGGAGTCAGGAGAGCGACAACCTTCAGTGAAGCAGATACGCGGTAAATTTCACAAGTTGTACGAAATTGATAAATCATGCTCTTCTGTACAATACATGTTTTATGAGAGAATTAATCTGAATTTAATAGCACACATTTAGTCACTTTAACAATGAAAAACAGACTATATGAGCGTATATTATGCATGGCATTCATGGGGCATGTGACCTTAATGGATGGTTCCCACACCAAGTTAACAGACGATTTATACTGGAGGAATCCGATGAGCTATAAATCTCTTTTTCACAGATGTCCAGTAGGGGCGGGTCAGAACGTTACAACAACAAACAATACCAAAAACACTATAGGAGTGTAATGTATACGGTAAACAAATCACCCAAACACATACAAATGCAACTAAACCATCCCCGTCCTACCAGGCAAAGCCGACTGAGGTATTAACTTGTTTTTTTCAGAAGCGACTTGGCCACAAATGATCGCTCAACAAAGTGACCCATAATTTGGACATTTATAGCGCAAAATAATCTAAATAATCTCAATTCATGTTTCTCAATGTGAGCACAGCGCCACCCTGGCGCCCACCCAGTCACCCGCCGGTTCATTTTTCTCATGCTGCTGCTCGAGCCCGCTGCCCGGTGCGTCGCATATGAAGTGAACAGCCCTGCACACACACGCAGGGGCCCGGTGTGGAGGGTTGCTGATTCTTACACCCAACTCCGCCCACGATGAGCACCTCCCTGACTCCACAGTGTGCCATGGCACGCTCCGTGATCTCCACCAGCATCGCAAACACGGTTTCCTACAGCACGCGCGTCACACACACACTCAACAAGATCTCCTGCAGCGCACGCATCAGAGACACACTCAACACGAAGGAGACTGGAGAACCCGGAGGAAATCGTAGCAGAACAGGGGGAGAATATACAAACTCCACACAGGACTCGAACCCAGGAACTTCTTGCTGAGGCAAATGTGTCACCACTGTGCCACCCTGCCACCCAAGTGCAACTATTCTGAGTTATGGATGTAAAAACACTTGTATTTCAGATATTATGCAAAATCTAACAACCAGTTTTTGAAGTTCTCATTCAAATATGAACGTATTAGTTACAAGTCAACTCCACATGACTTACAATAGCAATTACACATGGTCTGGGATTATAACAAAATACAATACTATATTCTTTGGGTCTTTTGGTAAAGCCACATAGATAGAAAAACTATAAAAAATATCACGACGTTTCGATCGCAACACAAGCAATCGTAATCATGTGAAAAAATATAGCGGGAGAGCTGCTGAGGCAGGATGTTATAAAGGTTTGTAGCCCAAGGGTCATAAGCGAAGTGGGTGGGGCTAGAGATGAAATTTGCATGTCAATGTAAGATCGGAGAGCTGAGCTACCTCCAGGACGACGAAGCTGTGGAGGTGGCCATTGTATTGTGAGAGATTAGCATGTCAACGTAAGAAAAACGAAAACCACCGCCACATCGAGGAAAACGAGCAACGTTGGCTGCGTTAGTGAGACATTTAGCCTGTTAATGTAAAGACATTTTAACACGTAGGCTTTCACGACCAATATTATTCATAATAAACGTTTTTGGGTTAGATCACGTTATTTATAAATGTGTCGTAGCCCTCCACCACCTGACATGGCCAATCAGTAAAAAAGTGTCACGTTGACAAAAGACAAATAGTTCACTACTTTAGCCCACCGGTGTGTTCAAGAGTGAATACACAACATTTACAATTTTTGAGTACGACGTTTTGCTGGTAAAATACAACGAGCTCTATGGTGTAGAGTTTTGATGAGGGAATTATTCTGGGATCGATGGTGATGGGAGTCAGGTTTTAGGTTAGGCATCTGTATGGGTGGCTTTCCTGTAGACAGAGTGTCCCATTGAGCCATCTGGTCTCTTTTCGATTAAAACATCTAAGAATGGTAACTTGCCATCCTTTTCCACCTCCATGGTGAATTTGATGGCTGGGTGTATGGAATTAATGTGGTTGAAGAATTGACCCAGAGCTGGTAGGCCATGTGGCCAGATGACAAACGTGTCATCTATGTCTCTCTTCCACAAGGAAGGATGTAGGGTGGATGCCTGAATGGCATCTGTTTCAAAATTTTCCATGAAAACATTGGCTACAACTGAAGATAACGGAGAACCCATTGGGGTACCTTCAACGTGTTTGTAGAATGTTCCATTCCGGGTGAAGTAAGTATTGGTGAGGCAGTGTCTAACCAGGGCCGGTACATCAGCATTCAGTCCTTGTTGGACCAAATCTTCAATTATTGCAATGGTGTCAGGCACAGGAACTTTGGTAAACAAAGATACTACATCGAAACTGACAAGCAGATCATCTGGAGACAGTGAGATGTCCTTAATTAAAGATACCAAGTGAGCTGAGTTAAGTACAGATGAGGTGGTCTTACCAGTGAATGGTTGTAAGGTCTCAGAAATCAGGCCAGTTTCTAGGTGGGTGAGTCAATGGTCGAGACGATAGGACGGAGTGGTGTACCTTCTTTATGGACTTTTGGTAAGCCATAAAATCTGGGTGTGTCTAGCAGCAGAAGGTTTTAAGGAAAGCCGCTAGGTTGGTTCAATTAAAGATGTCGAATCAGTGATGATATTGTTGGTTTTCGTAACCAGGTGGTTGGTAGGATCTCTATTGATTTTGGTATAGCTGCCATCATTAAGTAGGTCCTGAGTTATTGTATGTGGTTTTGTCCATGATTACAGTGGCATTGCCCTTGTCGGCTGAGAGGATGACTATGTCATCTCTCTTTTTTAGTTGGAAAGCTCAAAGCGCTCATCCTTGCTGATGTTGCTGTGTCTTAGCGTTTTTGAGGATTGCAGTGATTTCCGATCTTGCCACATCTGCAAGAATGTATCCCAAACCATTAAGGGCTACATCAACCTGGGCAATGATACCATCAACTGGGATGTTTAGGGGTGACTGCGAAATTCAACCGTTTAGCTAGAACCGATTTTACGCTGTCGGAAATTGGGCTGTTACTCTGATTGATAACAATCTTGTCACCGTCTAACTTTTTAATGTGTGGATCTGGCTTCTTCTTGGAAAGGAGGTTGAACTTGGAAATAAGGTTATCTTTGCATTTAGCTGGCACCCATCTCAAATCTTTATAACATCCTGCCTCAGCAGCTCTCCCACTATATTTTTTCACCTGATGACGATTGGTTGTGTTGCGATCGAAACGTCGTGATATTTTTATTATTTTTCTATCTACGTGGCTTTACCGAAAGACCCAAAGAATATGAATTCCTGCAGTCACGAAAGCTTTAAGTCAAGATAAAATAGAACATGACGTAGCCCCAAATTTCATACCTGCAGTGAGAAACATAGATCCTCTGCAGTGCATTCGCCGCTCGCCAGCATTCTCTGCGCTGCCTCCTGCGTGCCGCATGCACAGACCACACATGCCCAACGTCACGTGGTGAGAGCTCCCCGCGAACCGTGCTGGGGAGGCCACCCAGCCACACTCGCACCTCTTGCCTGGGCCAGATGCCACGACTGATGCACAGCTGACGTGCAACCCACTGTTCCCGTATGTATGTGATGCTGGGGCCGTCTGGAACGCTCTTACTTCTGATGTTAGGAAGCCACTGGAGCTACGCACTTTTAAATCATATAAATTGAAAGTCATTGCTTTAGAACTGCCTTTTCTGTTTAGTTTGTTGTCCTTCCCCCGCGCCTCTGATTAAGACGGTTGGCTACGTACGGTGTGAAAGAAGTTTAACATACATACATCGTGTTGATCGATAGGAGAGGTAAATGGGCTTGGGAAGGACATATCACATGACGGGATGATGGCCGATGGTCAAGACTGGCGATGGCATAAGAGTCAAAGGAGGGAACAAGACCAAGAGGATAGATACCGTAGATACACCACAATGAAATCTCACTAGTAGGCACCAAATGGATCGTTGCATCGAAATGACCGGCGCTAAATAATATCTATTAACACAGCAATGGTGAGCATTATTTTGGAGAAGATAAGCAGAGTAAAACTCCGACTAGCTGGAGTAGGAGGGGGGAGCCCTGATCCGGCTCACTAAAATGTCCTGCTAGTCCAGGGGTCGGCAATAAAAATTACAAGATAATTTTTTTTCAAATTCGGTAAAAAAAACCCTCTATATTTCAAGAGCCGCAATGCATGTGAATACGAGACGGTGATCTTTAATAAATAACGTCATGAAGCAGTCCTTAAAGAGCCACATGCGGCTCCGGAGCAGCAGGTTGCTGACCCCTGGGCTCGCCGCGAATACGATAAGAATCCATTCTAATCAGTGTAATGAAACCTATAGGTCTAGGCTGCTGTTATGCGCTCACCTCGATGTAGGAGAGGATCCCTGAGAAGGAGACGTCCATGCCCTTGACAGTGTACGGCAACTCCACGAAGCTCCCTCTGGGTCAGGCACAGCGCACGCCACACACGACCGGCTGGCAACATCAGCATCGGCGTTGGAGCCAGGGGCTTCACCATGGGGAGGATGCGAGTTCAAATCATGGCTGGTGGATGACCTAGTCCATCACCCCTCCCTCCTCGATCAATACAATGAGTACGATTTTGCGGGGTAGTCAACAGTGGTTATCTTACGGATAGACTCTCCCGTCGTATAAATGTGGAATTTTCACTACTTGCTCAGGGCTGTAAATAGGAGATGAGTGCCACATTGGTGCTCATTTCAGCAGGAAATCATTTTGACGTTTTTTTTACATTCAACATCAACAAGGATTCCAATACAAAGTCAGCTTGTTGCATGCGTAATGTAGCTCTCAGAGACATCGTCTTGTTCCGTTATATGTATATTTATTATTAATAAAGTCCGCCGACTCACTTATAACTTAACGAGTAACTACGAGTGACTATATACACTTGGGTAACTTAGATAGCTCTATTCTGAGACAACATAGCTCTAGCCTTCCAAGACTACAAGGTGTCTACTCCAGGATGATGAAGACGACCCGCTCCAAGGTGACAACGGCGACGGCAATTCCCCCACACCAGCAGCCAAGCGCCCCGGTTCGCGCCAGATCTTATCCCCCTCACGACCCAGCCACGCCCCTATTACCGAACCCTCTCTCAACGCACCTGGCCCTGTCTGTCTCTGCCCTTATTACAATTTACGACCGTTCGGTCCCATGCTTCCCCTCACGCGACCCTGTCAACGCTTGTCGCATCACTCATTATTAGCAACCACTTAGGTCCACTGGCAGAGCCAGTGAGGGGGGTGGGGTGGCACGTGCCCTCCCAATGATCCGATCGAAATCCCTAATTTCGATCGGATCATTGGGGTTTATTAGTAACGAGGGGGTGAGTGACAGCACCACGCCCGGCCACCTTTGTTTCCCCAGTGGCGATGTTCACACACCACACCAGTTACTCGTTTGAGGCTGAGTCGACCTAGGGGAGACCCAGGACCGGTTAAAATAATCGTCACCGGTGGTGGCCGTGAGCGGGAATCGAACGTGGGTCGCCGGGTTCGTAGCGCAGCACACTAACCACTACACTACAATGCGTTACGCTTCCACATGCGCGGGTCACATGGCAGATTTGACGTTACAGCTCACTTGCCATGCAAAAAATATATGCATTATTAAGCTCCCCCCCCCAAAAAAAAAACAAGTATATTTTTATAATTTTTGCATGGTGTACAGTCTGGAAAGTACCCACTTGGCAAATTTCCAGTTTGTTGCATGTCGGGAAGTACGCTAAACATTTTGAACAGACACACATATTCACAACTTTGCCGTTTGTATATATGGAGATAAATCGGCATTTTGCGACCCCCACTGCCACTGTGTAGCATATTATTACGTGCCAGGGACTCTATGAGATGATAGAACAATAGCCTGTGTCAATAATTGGCAATAAGTAACGGCAAAGCAGTTATAAGTGACTCACAGAATTGTGCGTAGTTGCGTATACAGGACACGACTTCCCTGAAGGCAAACACCTTCGGCGAGCGCGATGCCGATCACACAACGCGGTTCGAATTCGACCCTCGATCGATGGCTGCACCATTGCTGCACACGCGTCAAATAAAAAGCAAGGGACATGTCCTTACTAACAACTTCTATTTTTCATTGCTGGAGGGGTTGCCACCCCTACCTGAAAATCCTGGCTCCGCCATTGCTTAGGTCCAACATTGCTTAGGTCCCACATTACCTTAACGTGACCCTGTCTGTTCCCGTTACGTTAATTAGTAACCATGGCCATGGGGAACCGTACTGTCCCTACATCACCCCGTACTGTCCTTACACATGCAAGAACATTGGTGTTATTGCATTGCCAAATTACAAAATGCTGCATTTGTCATACCTCTTTGCCATTTGCTCAATGTTGTATCCAGGGCTTGGATCATTGGATATCTAAGAGACAAACAAAACAATCATATTTTTTTTTTGTGCGCAGTTAAGCTGGTGCAACTGAAGGCAAACAGGTGTGCACGTTGCAACATGAGGTTTGCACCGACAAAGCGACAGTAATTAAGGGGAGAAGCGGGTGCAAACGAGGTCGAACAGATGGGAACGTTGAAGCCGGAGGTTGGCGTCGGGGTCATGGGAGATGGGGGGTGATGATAAGGGATTAATGAGGACACCAGGCGCCGGGCATGCAGCGGTTAAGGGGAAGCACGTGAGGACTCGGAATGAGCAGGGGGATATAAGCGGGAGTGTGCGTGAGCGGAGTTGAGTTGCCCGGGAACCAAGAGTGAAGACATCTCGCCGCTGCCGCTCAAGCCGTCAACAAAGCCTCAACCCTCACGCCGTCGCCGGGCAGGTGTTGGCTGAACCCCCCACCCGGGACAGACGGGTGAGCGGGTATGAGGCAACGTAGGTGAGGGCAGCGGTGGAGATGCAGAGTTCTAAGAGCTGCTGTGTGCAGAGCCACTGAGTGCGGAGTTGCTGTGTGCAGAGCCGCTGAGTGTGGAATTGCTGTGTGCAGAGTTGCTGAGTGCAGGATAGGTGAGGTGCAGAATAGGTGAGAGCGGGGAGAAGTCAAGTGTATGTGACCGCAAAGATAGATATAGGAGTGCCTACAACTTGCGCGTGAACAGGAGTAATAAAGTGTAAGCAGGTGACTTGTTACTACATGTCGGTGTGAGTAATTTTAAAGACATTGCACTATTCATACAGAGTCCATTACTTTAAACAGCAATAACACGGAGGCCCACGTAAATATGAGCTCCAAATTTTCTCATTCACAAACATTTTCTATTGTTATTACTTTGCAATATTTAACTAGATTTTATGAAAGCTGTATTACGATTGTATATTTAATTTCATAACAGGCCACTGAGTTGCTTTGTAAAACTCATCCTTGCATGTGTCAGATAAAAAAAGGATGTCAGAGCTTACCTTGAGTACCCGAGCAAATCTGTCCAAGCAATTTCCCACCGCGATGTCGATGGTTTCCCCAAAAATGCGGTACCTCCTCTGAGAGTAAGCAATCACCTGCAAAGTGCGTCACTGTCAACCTGTTTCACTGCCAGATAACAATGTGACTTGCATGACAATATTTTAATCTTCATATGAGAACTATTTTTCCTATGAAGCGTTGGCCTCTGCCGCTCAGTTTAGCATAACCCCTATCGTCAACTGCCTGGGCAGCGGGGTGACAGTGTGGTCGTGACACTCGCACCACCTCATAGCTCCAGGGGCTTGGATTCCATTCCAGACTCAGGCACCTTTCTGCATGGAGTTTGTGTTCTCCTCCTGCTCTGCGTGGGAAGGGGTCGGAAACCTGCAGCTCCGGAGCTGCATGCGACCCTTTACGGACCACTTCGTGACTATATTCACATGAATTGCGGCTATAGCAGGGGTCTGCAACCTTTAAGACATAAAGAGCCACTTGGACCCGTTTCCGAAGGAAAAAATAAACTGGGAGCCGCAAAACCATTGCGACATTTAAAACAAATATAACACTGCATATATTGTTTCTTACCTTATTGCTATATACAGGATCGTGCAGTCAGCTGTCAATCTGAATAAAAAAATGACTTTTTCACTTAACAATGTAAAATATATTTTTGCAAATTAATAGCTAAATTACCTGGTTAATGGGATTTTTGCTCCTGAACCTCAGTGCACAATGTCTGCACATCAGGGCTGTAAGACGTCACCTTCATTTTCACACAGGCTTGCAAGCTGTCATCTGTGAGGCGTGATCGATGTTTGTTTTTAATATAGTTCATGTTGGAGAAGACCTGCTCACATACATATGTGGAGCCGAAGATCGACAGGACTCCAAATGCATACTTTTTCATGTTTATATAAGTGTTGGGGATGGCATTCCATGTTTCGAATACAAGTTTGTCCTGTTTGGGAAGGTTTTCAATATCACTCCATTTATGATTCTGAGCCAGAATGGCCTTCTGACGGGAAACATCCTCAAGAGTAGCGGTCAAGCATTTGAACTTGGACACCCATATATCTTTGTCGGCTATATCGGCCAGTTCCATCTCAAGATCAGGTTGACTTACACCTGCAAATGCAGTCATATTCAATAGGGATGGATCGATCGCCAGGGGAGTGACAGGGAAGGATAATGTCGTTTTTTCCTCTCTGAACTCACAGAATCGTTTCCCAAACGAACTTTGCATTGTGGTGATTGCAGACTTGAAATATTCCAAATTTATCGTATCATGACTTTGTTTGAACTCTCTCAAAGAGGGAAAGTGAGACAGTGTACCTCTCTGTAAATCTTTGACAAACACTGTTAACTTGCGCTCGAATGCCAAAACCTCCTCCAGCATGTGCAGGGCTGTGCCTCCTTTCCCCTGAAGGGTTGTATTTAGCGTGTTTAGATGTGCTGTCATGTCTACCATAAAATGTAATTTTTCCAGCCACTCTGGCTGTTCCAGCTCAGCAAAGGTGAGCTCTTTGCTGCCCAGGAAGGTTTTTACTTCTTCCAAACATGTGACAAAGCGTTTTAGCACCTCGCCTCTGGACAGCCACCGGACCTTGTTGTGGAGCAGGAGGTCAGAATATATGCTTTCCACCTCATCCAATAGTAAACGGAACTGGCGGTGGTTTAAACCCTTTGCCATTATCTTATTAACAATCTGAATGACCACATCCATCACTTTTGTGCATTCCGGGGGAAATGTTTGAGCACACAATGCCTCTTGGTGCAGGATGCAATGAAATGACAGCAGCGTTCTACCCAGCGCCTTCTGCAGTAGAGCCACAAAGCCCTTCTGTGCTCCTCTCATGCTCGGTGCCCCATCAGTAGCCACTGAGACCAGGTGGTTGGTGTTTATTTTTTTAGCACTTAAAAAGTCCAGGACAGCCTTACAGATATCCTCACCCCTTGTTTGGTCTTTTAGTGGTATCAGCTCAATCAGTTCTTCCTGTGGCCCAAAAGAGTTCACATATCGGCAGAACAGCGCTATTTGTTCAATATCACCTTTATCTTTGGACTCATCACAGGCGATGGAGTACACCACAGCTGAATTAATGTCTTGAATTTGCTGTTTGCTAATGTTTTCTGCCATTTTTAGGGTTCTGTCTTTGACAGTCTTCGCAGAGAGAGGCATGTCTTTGATTTTCTGCACAATTTCATTCTTGTTTTTGAAGTCCATGTATAGACGTTCCCGAAATATTAATGAATGCTTCTTTTATATATTCTCCATCTGTGAAGGGCTTCCCGTGCTTGACTATTTCCTGAGCGGCCACAAAACTAGCATATGTTGTGGAATTTTCAGTCTTCACCCACTTCTTGAAATTATTTTTGCTCACATTAACCTTCCTCATAAGTTCTGCAATGGCTTTTCATTTCTCATCTCCATCTGGATATTTTTCAGCAAAGGCTGTTTGTTTATTCTGGAAATGTCTTGCAATATTCGACGTTTTGTTGTTTGCAAATTTCTCACCACATATTAAGCATACTGGTAAACCAGTCTCGTCAGTAGAGAATGCGAATGATTCTGTCCATGAGGAGCGGAGCTGATGGAGGCAGCCATGTTTTGCGTTACCTAGCAACGGCAACGTTATTGCCTGTCACCGGGCGGGCAGTGTGGAGCGGAGCGGCGACCTGTCAGCAGCGGCAACGCCAGAGCAGGTGTCACAGTGCGCCTCCTCCCCTCGCTAGCATCCGCCCCGGAGCCGCGGTCAAGGTTCAAAAGAGCCGCATGCGGCTCCGGAGCCGCAGGTTGCCGACCCCTGGGCTATAGAAATATTGAGTTTTTAAAATTTTTATTGTCGACCCCTGTGCATGGGTTTTCTCCGGGTTCTCCGATTACCTCTCATAAACTAAAAGCCACTTTAACGGTATTGGCCAAGCATCCCGAAGCTGAAAAATCACCTGAAAATAACTCAATTGGGATTACACACAGCGGGAGCATCAACCCCAACTGCAAAAACTTGCGGGACCCTCTAGAAAAAGTCTTGAGACTCAGTGACACTTTCCCGAGTAAACAAGTGAAATAATAATAAATTAATTCTAGATTTTAAGCTTTCGTGACTGCAAGGATTCATACTCTTAGTTCTTTCGGAAAAGTCACGTAGGTAAAAAAATTAAATTAAAATTAATAAAATAAAACAATAAAATCACGACGTTTCGGAGGCAACACAAGTCTCAGGTGGGACCGTCACAGCCAGATTTGCTGCATCAAGTGAGGCAGGGATTCAAGATGCAAGCCCTTAAATACAAGTTAAGGGGGAGGAGAGGGGGGGAGGAGCTTATCAGAATGTGGTAGCCAATGAATGGAACGTATCGGGAGAGGGGGGGGCGAGGCTAAAAGAGGGCGTGAGGTACTCGTGGGCGTCCTCGGCATGGACGTGTTTGTGCGCAAGTCACTGTGGATGTACATGATAGAAAAGAAACGGAAATGCCCATGTTTATACCAGTGTAGAGGTGTAATTGCGCATGGCTACGAATGTTGAGGTGTGATTATGCATGGCCACGGATGGCCAACAAACACAATGGGCGGGGTTACGGCCGTACACAAGGGTGGCGCTCGCACCGACGTCCGAATGTGCGTCCCCCACGGGCCCCCCCTCGGGGGGAGTCCTATAAAAGGTGATGAGCTCGAGGGCTCGAGGTCGGGACTCAGCTTTAACCAGAGAAGACGGAAGACCTGCTAGTGTAGGCCCCAGAGCTCCCCTGGCTCGCTGTCCTTATAAGGGCCGACCAGGGCAAGCCGGTGGCGTGGCCCCGAGAGCCCAGACGAAGCTGGTCTGGTGACTCAGGGAGCCGGGATCCCAGCTTAACCAAGCTGGGACAGATAGCCTCCCCTAGTTCCGTAGTGGAGGAATTGGTATAGGTTAGAGGGGTTAGCTGTCGAGAAATCCCTGTAGCCCAGTGACCTGTAATAACTGTGTTGGTGTAATAAATAAGTGTGCCTCCGATCCTGTCGTCAAGCCTCCATATATTTACTACACCAGTGTTGGCTGACAATAAAGAGAGTACTGTTAAACGCTGGGGGTGTTAACACTCGGTAAAGTAAAATAGTGCCTGTCAGATAAGATGGTCCAAAAAATGTGTAGTTAAATCTTTTTTGCATGGTTGATAACATCTTTCCAATGATTACTAAGTTTGTACCCATCATCACGATTGAAATTATGTCTGTATTTGTATATCTGAATGGCTTCGTGTACAAACCTTTGATGGTAGCCAGAGGGTTTGCAGAGCACCTTAGTCTCGGTTAAAACAATATCATGAGAGCCCACCGCGTTGTAGCAATGATCGGCAACGGCGGAAGACTCAATTTTCCAGTGTTGGGAGCGGACTCAATTTTGCAGTGTTTCAAATCGGAAACACGGCAAAATTGAGTCTTCTACCGTTGCCGATCATTGCTACAACGCGGTGGGCTCTCATGATATTGTTTTTTTCCGAGACTAAGGTGCTCTGCAAACCCTCTGGCTACCATCAAAGGTTTGTACACGAAGCCATTCAGATATACAAACACAGACATAATTTCAATCGTGATGATGGGTACAAACTTAGTAATCATTGGAAAGATGTTATCAACCATGCAAAAAAGATTTAACTACACATTTTTTGGACCATCTTATCTGACATGCACTATTTTACTTTACCGAGTGTTAACATCCCCAGCGTTTAACAGTACTCTCTTTATTGTCAGCCAACACTGGTACAAACATGGGCATTTCCGGTTCTTTTCTATCATGTACATCCAGTGACTTGCGCACAAACACGTCCACGCCGAGGACGCCCACGAGTACCTCGCGCCCTCTTTTAGCCCCCCCCCCTCCCGATACGTTCCATTCATTGGCTACCACATTCTGATAAGCTCCTCCCCCCCTCTCCTCCCTCTTAACTTGTATTTAAGGGCTTGCATCTTGAATCCCTGCCTCACTTGATGCAGAAAATCTGGCTGTGACGGTCCCACCTGATGACGGAGACTTGTGTTGCCTCCGAAACGTCGTGATTTTATTGTTTTATTTTTATTAATTTTCATTTCATTTTTTTTACCTACGTGACTTTTCCGAAAGAACTAAGAGTATAATAATAAATTGACGTCGACATAACAACCTCCAGCAGGCGTCCTTGGCAGACACTCTTCATGTAGCGCTTAGACCAGGGGTCAGCAACCAAAATAACAAGAAGAGCCATTATTTTATTTGGTAAAAAACGTAATATTTCAAGAGCCGCAAACTAGAGGCCGACCGAAACTGAATTTCTGGTTTCGGCCAAAACTGAAACCAGACCGAAAGTAAAAAATTATCTTTCGGCTGAAACCGAAACCGAAAGTTTAACGTCACTTTCGACCAAAACCAAAGCCGAAACCGAAAGTTTAACTACACTTTCGACCAAGACCGAAACAGAAAGGTAAATAACCGAAGTTACCGAACACAAGATTTATGAAATACTAGCTTTACTACCCGGCTTCGCCCGGGACTTGGATTCACCACGGCCGGCCGCCTTTGTTTCCCCAGTGGCGATGTTGATATACCACACCACTTACTCGTTTGAGGCTGAGTCGACCTAGGGGAGGTCCATGTGAATACAAGATGGTGGTCCTTAATAAATAACGTCATGAAGCAGTCCTTAATGAGCCCCATGTGGCTCCAGATGTGTAGGTTGTTGACCCCTGGTGTAGATTGCATACAGGCGTCAAAGTCTCCATTACTCTCTAACCATGCTCACTGGCAGTCAGTTGCCTCCTTATCACTCTTCTTTCGTAACTACCATGGTTACTTTTGGTGTGAAGTTCACTCGTTGATTTCTCCACTCATATTGAGTGTCTATTTAACAGAATTGAATCTCATTCATACTGTGTTCAACTACCACATTGCAGGTCAAAACAACACACCCACTCTCATTCACCCAAGCACCCACTCAACAACCCACCCACTCAATCATCACACTGCAGGTCACAACACTTCTCCTTTAGCTTCTTCCCTCGCACTGCTTCACTTTCAAATTCCCTACCATCATAAATGTTCCCAAGCTCTTGTAACTTTACTCAATTCAAGAAACGTGTTCACTCTTACCGATGGTAACTTTGATGGGGATGTTTGTTACCGGTCGCATCTCCTTCCACCCATTATAATTATCAAACAAGCACCTCGAAGACACCACAGACCACTCGCCCACCCTCACCTGTGTGTTGCCTCCGCTGACGTACAGCACTATCGGGTTGTGCGCTCCAGTGATGAGCCGCCCCATCTCAATGTGGCCAATGCAGTGGTTCACTCCCACCAGAGGCTTGCTCCACAGCTGGGCCACAGTGCGTGCCACCAGGGCCACGGACACCAGCGGGGCGCCCATCCCGGGGCCTGCACACGAGGTACACGTTGGGAGCGGACATCGCTGGCATCCACACATTTGCTTCAAAAAGCACCACACTGGGTAGCAGGGTGGTGGCGCAGCGGCAATGCATTTTCTCCCCCTGTTCTCCATGGATTTCCTCTGCGTGGCTTCTCTTGTTTCCTTCCATAGGTAAACCCACACACACAATGTAGTTGTGGTACTGGCCAAACATCCCAATGCTGAATAATTACAGGCAGTCCTCGATTTACACCCGACGTACAATCAAGCTAAAATTATTTATATATATATTTTTTACATTGACTTAAAACGCGATCCTCTGTGAGATGTGATGAGTCAGCCTTGCGCTGGGAGTGAGTGTTTGTGCGTGTGTACTGGCACGTGCACGTGTGTGTGTGAAAGTGAGTGTGTGGGTATAAAAGTAGTGTAGTGGTAAACACGCTGCACGATGAACCCGAAGACCCGAGTTCGATTCCCGCTCACAACCAACACCAGTGGTGATTATCTAAACTGGTCATGGGCCTCCCTTAGGTCGACTCAGCCTCAAATGAGTACCTGGTGTGGTGTGCAAACATCACTATTGGAAAGACAAAGCAGCCGGGCGTGTTGTTGGCCACCCACGCCCTCGTGTGCCGTGCCAGCCTTCATAGGTGCTCGCTAACACCATTTGCCCCAACAGTCTGTTAAGGATATACAGGGGATCGTTGTTGTTGGTGAGTGTGTGTGCGAGGTTGCCCCCTGTGTGTGTGTGCAATTGTGGTGACTCATTGTGCCCCTTCTGACAAGCAAGCCAGCATCAAGGTAAGTGAAAATAAAACAGATTTTTTTTTCCTATAAATGTAAATTTATTTAAGTGTGATAGTAGCACTCTGCACTTGCAAACCACAGGGGCCGTGTGCATACTAGTGCCACCGTGCTGTTTGCACGTCCACGTGTGCCAATCGGTGCACCCATTACCCACACCCCACTGGAATCATCGGTTACCGCTTCCTACATTTTTAAACCATTAAACGATTATGACGATTACCAGTTTTCCGGTCGTTGTTTAACAATTCTACTTTTAAAGATTTTTCTTTGCACAGGGACAATCATTCAAAACGATCTTGCCAACACAATAATTCCTACACTCACCTTTTGTGTATGCAACACAGTCAATCTCGTGTGGTGCAATCCCTGCCTCATCCAGAGCCTTCTGCAAGATCTCCAACACTCGCTCCTGGTGGTGCTTAGCTGTGTCCCGCGGTAGAAACCCTGCTCCAATAGCACACAATAAAAACGCCTTATCCTTGACTTATCCATCCCTCAACATAGTACTATTTTACACATCCCACACGGCCTTCCGGCAGTGAATCATTTCAGCAGCATTGTTTCAACACAAGCAAAACTCTGAAACGGTTTTCACATGAAGCGTCTCATCAGCAGTCAGACTTGCTTGACACTGCCAAACTACCAGATATGGAGAGGCAAACACCCCCTCAAGCATCCTCTCTCTTAGATATGGGTCTTAGTTTGATGAAAAAAACTACATAATACAAAAGTTAGCTTAAATTTGGAGATAGCAGCTACAACAAATATATTCAATCATTCTTTATTTCTGGTTATTTACAGAGGAAGCTTCACTGAGTCTCAAGACTTTTTTTAAGGAAGGTCCTGCCAAGTTTTCACAGGAGAGGCAGAGGTTTCTGAGTAATTTTCAGGTAAAGTAATATTTCAGCATTATGATGTTTGGCCAATACCGGTTACATTGTGTGTGGTTTTTAAGCTATGGGCGGAAACCGGAGAACCCGTAAGAACCCCATGCAGAACATGGGGGGAACATACAAAGTCCACGCAGAAAGGTGCCCGAGTCGGGTATCGAACCCAGATGCTTCTTGCATTCGTTTGGCTATATGTGTGTGTGTAATACACAGACTGACTCCCAAGTAGGTGAGATCA